TGGTCCGTGTTGACCCGCCTGCTGCGGTACTCGTGCGTGCTGCTGAGAGCGAGTCAGCAACTGGCTGCTGGTGGGGCGAGCCGGCGGCTGCCATGTTGGCGCCTGTTGCTGTGCCAGCTGCTACTGCTGTTAGATCAACAGCACGAGGAGGAGCAGCAGTAGCAGCAGCAGCCGCTTGCGTAGAAGTCTGCTCGGGTTGAAAGAACGAGGTGATCTGTGGCGCCTGTGCTGCTGCTCGATGCAGTCGTGGGAGAAGCAGATGTACTTGCGGCGGCATTCTGCTCTTCCCGCACGTTCATGTTCTCTGAGGTCTCCATGTCTCCCCCCGTACGGTACAAGCTGTGCGTGTGTGATGCTGTTTCACCCCCGGTGATGAGACAGGGAATGTATGCGGCGTAACCTGTGTTATCACCGGGGTGTGGTATCTTGTGTACCCCCGGTGATAAATCATGGTCTGAAAAATACACCCAAAATTACCACCGGGGTGTGGNCACCAGACATCACGCACTCCCCCATCGCGAGGATCTTTACCACGAGTTGCCTCCGACATCAGGACGCCAACTCACCCAATTGCATGCGCGGACTCGCTACAACTTTTGTNGGGGTGTGGTATCTTATGAGGGTGTGGTATCTTGTGTAGAATACGGTACGCACCTCACCGGTTGCTCCCTTCAAACATGAATATGCGATGCCCACATCAATATGAAAAGATGGTGGCACGGATGCGCCGCGCTCTGCGACAAAATCACACCAGACATCACGCACTCCCCCATCGCGAGGATCTTTACCACGAGTTGCCTCTAACATCAGGACGCCAACTCACCCAATTGCATGCGCGGACTCAACTACAACTTTTGCCATGCCCACAACGCTCACCAGAATGCCGTAGGTCTGCTCGATTGCCATCCGGCACTGAGACACGTAGTAGTTGCACGCGTCTTGGCTTGCGGAGAGGCTCGTCCCCGGGAACGGGACGACGACGCGCTCGGACGCCCCATAGGCGGCGTCGCCCACGACAAAGTGGCCTTCGGGCAAGCCCGCCAAGAGCTTATCGAACCACGCAAAGTTGAACGCGGTGCGGTCGTTTTGGCTGCCTGGGCAACTCATCGTCCAGGCCACGATGCGATACTGGGCGTCGCATACCGCCTGAAGTAGAAGGACAACGTGTGCATGAGCATGTATGTGAAATAACACTCAAACCAAAGGCGATTTTTTCGAAGAGAACCATCCAAGGAGGACGCCACGTGCACGTGCCCGCTCAGTTCGCAGAACGGCATGCACGCGCCTGCACAAACTTAACATAACAGCAGTAGTAGCAATGAGGCCCATTCCAGCCTGCGCACAAAAATATGCGCCCATGACGCGCCTCAACAAAACTGCTACCTACAAAGTGCGCACCCTTTGATGAATCCTGTGCGTTGGGGAGTGGAAAAATACACTTGCAAGCTTCGTTTGAGCTATCGTGCAGAACCGCACCCGGAGGTATGTATGAGTACTGCTGTACTGAACCGATGTTTTACCCCCCCAGCACATGTAGGTCCGTCGCTGCTTTGCAGGCAAAACGCACCTGGCATCAGGATAGGCCGCCGACCAAGGAAACAATCTACATATTAATGTGCACATACACACCTGGAAGTTCATGCCGAAGCCGTTCTTGTGCCCGTTGTAATACAAGTTGGGCTCTGCGACCTCCTTCGCGCTCGGCTTGATCATCCGGACAAACAAGCCATCCATGGCCCCCACGCACTTCCGGACGACATCCACAAGAGCTGCGGTTGCGGAAAAGCTCGGCGGCTCTGGCAGCATCTTCACCCTCTGGCCACTCGCAGTTCAACTCCGGACAGGCATTCAGGGGGTTGATCACGGTCGGCGTTACGTGGTGTGCTGTACTCCTCGCGATGACATGGCCGTCAATGCNACCTCCTTCGCGCTCGGCTTGATCATCCGGACAAACAAGCCATCCATGGCCCCCACGCACTTCCGGACGACATCCACAAGAGCTGCGGTTGCGGAAAAGCTCGGCGGCTCTGGCAGCATCTTCACCCTCTGGCCACTCGCAGTTCAACTCCGGACAGGCATTCAGGGGGTTGATCACGGTCGGCGTTACGTGGTGTGCTGTACTCCTCGCGATGACATGGCCGTCAATGCACTCGTAGATGGACCCCCCCGCGAGCCATCTCAACGTCATCGCGACCTGGTACTCCGCCGGGATGGCGCCGTTGCGCAGCAGCCCCATCTTCTCGTTCTAATGCAGGGCAGGTCGCAGGTGATCTACTAAAACCCTGAAGTCATCGTAATCCATGCGAAAGCGCACTGAGAACGTGTGGTCTTGCAGCATCGGCTTGATGTACGTCTCGAAAGGCCCCCTCTCCCGCGTGACCAGGGTGCTGCGGTTCCTCTTCGTCGGAGCATCGAGCGCTGAGAGGTTGTCCAAAATGGCCAGTGCATCCAACAGGCTCGACACCCTCTTCGTGACAGAGGCCAGCCCATGGGCACGCTTGACCCTCCTGGCTGGACTGACAGCCATGGCAGGTGGCTCAGCTTGACACGTGCCGTGGGGGGGCGCTGTGGTGGTGGTTTGGTAGCGGCAATGCGCTGCAAAACCAGGCACTCTGTCTCACTTTTGCCAACGGCTGGCGGGCACATACATGCAGCGCGAGTGACGATTTGCACCCNTGTGCTGTACTCCTCGCGATGACATGGCCGTCAATGCACTCGTAGATGGACCCCCCCGCGAGCCATCTCAACGTCATCGCGACCTGGTACTCCGCCGGGATGGCGCCGTTGCGCAGCAGCCCCATCTTCTCGTTCTAATGCAGGGCAGGTCGCAGGTGATCTACTAAAACCCTGAAGTCATCGTAATCCATGCGAAAGCGCACTGAGAACGTGTGGTCTTGCAGCATCGGCTTGATGTACGTCTCGAAAGGCCCCCTCTCCCGCGTGACCAGGGTGCTGCGGTTCCTCTTCGTCGGAGCATCGAGCGCTGAGAGGTTGTCCAAAATGGCCAGTGCATCCAACAGGCTCGACACCCTCTTCGTGACAGAGGCCAGCCCATGGGCACGCTTGACCCTCCTGGCTGGACTGACAGCCATGGCAGGTGGCTCAGCTTGACACGTGCCGTGGGGGGGCGCTGTGGTGGTGGTTTGGTAGCGGCAATGCGCTGCAAAACCAGGCACTCTGTCTCACTTTTGCCAACGGCTGGCGGGCACATACATGCAGCGCGAGTGACGATTTGCACCCACCCCATCAAGTTTTCCACTCATGTAGGCGTTTTTTCGGTGACCTTCGCGTTCCCTCTAAGACTGCAGGCCCGCCTCCCGGCAAAAATCTGTCTTGGATTTTGATTTTTTTTTCCTGGAAACAGAATCTTCCGATTTCGATAAGACAGGCTCTTGAGCGGGAAGAGTCTTTAAAAATGGTGTCTTTAAAGCGGGGACGGCTGTACGTCACAACAGCAGTCTGGCAGTTGCAAGCGGCGGACCCCTCGGGTTGTTCGCGGCGGACTGCAGAGATTCGTTTCCATTTGGCAGATCTGCCTTCGAGACACACAGGCCATTCATTTCTGTCCGGATTTGGGTAGATCCGACTCTTTTATTCTTGTATCGAAATGATTTCGAGATCTGATATTCGTCAAGACCCACCCTTCCATGTTTGCGTGTTTGCTTGTCGTTAGTGGTCTCTCCACCGTGTGCCTTTTTTTGCCTTTTTCTGTCTCTTATTTCTTGTTATTTTCGGCCTGGTCCCTTTTGTCCTCGCTCCTTTTACTTCATTTTCTCGTTCCTTACTGTTTCCATATATATTTCTTCTCTTTTTCTCTTGTTCTCTTTTCTCTCTTTTCTGTGCCAAATGGCCTTGTTTCTGCTTGCGTTGTGAAGTACCAAGATTGAACCAAGGGGGTGTACCATTCTCTCCGGCCCGTGATGGTGACTCTTACCTCGCATAGCGCGCAGAGGGAGTGGAGGACTCCAGAATATCTGGCGTTGATTTCTATTGACTTGCGGACCCCTCAGGGCCATTATATTTGAATGTACCTTTTTAGGGTAAGTTAGCCTGCGACCACGGGAATCGACCGCGTCGAGTGTTGTATCAGTACGGACATACGAAGGTACTAGGTAGAGAGAGATCGGAGCGGTTTTTAATGTGAAGACAACAGCAACAACAACAACAACAACAACAACCCTTGGATGAATCGGAGTGTTGTTATTTTCTGTTCTAATTGGGGATTGAGAACAAGCCAATAATTTGCCGCGACTTCGAGGCAATCCGTTGCAACGAGGATCAGCTTAAAAGGATTTGTACTGCATTTTTAGAAAGTGAACATACCCTCACAGAATGACTATCCCTTCGAGATATAGCCTCAGTCGAAAGGGATGTGATGATTTCAGTAAGTGGATTGAAACCAACTGGACACTTGACTTATTTTGCGTTTGTTCGGGTTGTTCTCCGGTGAAGGGAAGACATGCGGGATTACTTTTTCGTGCACGCTTGGGTCACACAGAAGGGTCCCCCAAACCTGACCCCCCCTACCAACCCCTCCGAACTGCTGGTGCGTGAAGTGTATAGCCACTTTCCACAATCAAGAACGGAATAACGGAAGGGGTAATCGCTTGAGAAAAAAAAAACCGTCAACCTGCTCTCTACAAAATTGTAATCGGTGCAAGTTGTTGTCCGCCCCCTCCTGCGGTTCTTGCCTTTGATTAGTAACGCGAGAAGAGTTGAACACCCTCTTGATTGGGAGCGAACTGCTGGTGCGTGAAGTGTATAGCCACTTTCCACAATCAAGAACGGAATAACGGAAGGGGTAATCGCTTGAGAAAAAAAAAACCGTCAACCTGCTCTCTACAAAATTGTAATCGGTGCAAGTTGTTGTCCGCCCCCTCCTGCGGTTCTTGCCTTTGATTAGTAACGCGAGAAGAGTTGAACACTCTCTTGATTGCGAGCGAACTGCTGGTGCGTGAAGTGTATAGCCACTTTCCACAATCAAGAACGGAATAACGGAAGGGGTAATCGCTTGAGAAAAAAAAACCCGTCAACCTGCTCTCTACAAAATTGTAATCGGTGCAAGTTGTTGTCTGCCCCCTCCTGCGAAGTGTATAGCCCCTTTCCACAATCAAGAACGGAATACCGGAAGGGGAAATCGCTTGAGAAAAAGAAAAACGCCAACCTTCAGCCGGCTCTCTACAATTGTAATCGGTGCAAGGTGTTGGCCGCCCCCTCCTGCGGTTCTTGCCTTTGATTAGTAACGCGAGAAGAGTTGAACACTCTCTTGATTGCGAGCGAACTGCTGGTGCGTGAAGTGTATAGCCACTTTCCACAATCAAGAACGGAATAATGGAAGGGGTAATTGCTTGAGAAAAAAAAACCCGCCAACCTTCAGCCGGCTCTCTACAATTGTAATCGGTGCAAGTTGTTGGCCGCCCCCTCCTGCGGTTCTTGCCTTTGACTAGTAACGCGAGAAGAGTTCAACACTCTCTTGATTGCACGCGAACTGCTGGTGCGTGAAGTGTATAGCCACTTTCCACAATCAAGAACGGAATAATGGAAGGGGTAATCGCTTGAGAAAAAAAAAACCGCCAACCTTCAGCCGGCTCTCTATAATTGTAATCGGGGCAAGTTGTTGTCCGCCACAGCAGCCCCGAGACCTACGCATATGCCTAGATTTTTGTTCAGTTGGTTCTCCGGTGAAGGGAAGACATGCGGGATTACTTTTTTGTGCACGCTAGGGTCACACGGAAGGGTCCCCCAACCCTGAGCCCCCCTACCAACCCCTCCTGCGGTTCTTGCAGTTGACTATTATAGTAACGCGAGAAGAGTTGAACACTCGCTTGATTGCACGCAAACTGCTGGTACATGAAGTGTGTAGCCACTTTCCACATCAACATCGGAATAATTTATGGAAGCGGTGAATCGCCTAAAAATCGCCAACCTTCAGACCTTCAGCCGGCTCTCCAATCGACGCAAATTGTTGTCCGCCACAGCAGCCCCAAGACCACGAGCTCTAAGCATATGCATACATCGCTTGTTGTGCCTTCGAACAGCAGGGGAACACTAGATTGCCTATCGCTACATACAATTGTACTCATACGATGCACAGCCCTTCGGGTACGCTGGTTTTAGGAAGTCATCATTTACCGTACCTCCAGGAGGCTTGACGTGACACCCACGTCCACCGTCCACCGTCACGTCCACGTGCACGGCAGCAACCTTTCACTGCTATAGTAAAGTTGGAGGCCAAAAAGGAAACCATCCCGACAGAGAATCTAGTCCGCAACTGGCAGGGTGGTAGCTGAGGGGCACCAGACTATGGACAGAGATGCGCGCGTTCTTTTGCACGAACAAGTTGCAGGAAGAATGTGCTGCCAACGACGCACACGAGGACGTCAATCAATCCACCAACCAGTGGGCTGGTTGCTTGCTGCCAATGCAAAAAGAGTGCGACTGAGGGTATTTCATTGAGAGCTGTGTCGGTTGTGGGTTGGCAACAATCCTCTTGATTGAGGAAGGATCCATATACTGCTGTGAAGTAGATCGCGCACCTGCTGCGTACTCGATCGTACGTTTATGGCACGGATAGAGAGGCCTACAAGTCGTTTGTTTCATGGCCAGACCTGGAAGTCGTTCATGGCTCTACCAAGACTTCCTTCCCTTCTCTTGGTTGCTTCAAGTACATAGCTACTGGACAGACAGGAACGGGCCGTTTTCGACGGGCAAATTTTGTTTCGAATGCAGCCGGATGGCCGCGATTACGATCATTTTTGGCGATTGGTCGTCATTACTGCTGGTGTTGTTGCCGTTGCTGATAACAAGGGTGCAGCGGTTCCGCAGCCACTTTGTTTGGTGGTGGGGTAACTTTGAAAATAGTTAACACCATTGTAACACACTAGGAGAGCAGTTTCTGCGCTGCACCATGTTCTGGTAGATGCTTGATGCAAAGGGTGAACCTTCCAACTATGGTGGAACACCGGTAGGTGGCATGGGCGAGGCTGCGGGAGACGGTCCTCGTCGAGGAATCGGTTGCGTCCACGCGCCAAGGACCCAGGAGAGCACAGCAGGCGCGCGTCGTCTTCTGATGTACTTCGTCGTAACGGGAGGGACCGCCCCAACCGAACACAACAGATTGCAATTATACATCTATTACCGTTGTCTGCGAGACATAGTTCTAAAGAGGCGCCCCGCCCCACCTTGGTCTCGCCTCAAGTTAGGTATGGAACGCGTGCACTGCACCTGGGCCCTGAAGGTTAGAAGCACAAGCACCGCGCAACACCCTACTGCTGTGCGTATGTGTGTCTGCACTCACCGCTTGACACCCAGGCGATCGCCACACCGCCGCCCCAACTATCATCACAACGGCTTTCGAAGCCCAGCTTGGCACCATGGGCCAAGAAGCGCCACTTCTCCCGCCCGCCGCTGTTGTGGATAGCACTGTACATCGTGATTGTTTTCTCGCCCTCCTCCCTGGCATCTCTCTTCCTCTCCCACACTTGCTGGGGGGGGGATTGCCACGGGATGACCAAGTTCTTGCCTTGTAGAAAAGGCTCTTATCTTTGAGGCAGCCTGCTGAGAGAGCCTCTTATCGTTTGTCGAGCAGAGGCAAGACAGAAAAAAAACTCTTGGGGTCCGCAACAGCCCGACCGCACTGGTTTGGCACAGTCCTGTGTTGTCGTGTCCAGTCCCATCAAAATCACAGAGTATCATATACTCGGATCCTTTCATCCTTTCCTTCGTCGTTCCTGGACAGGCAAGGTGGAAACACGAAGTGTAGTGGTTCGTGTGTACACAAAGGAAGAGAGTGCTTCACTGTTCTCGAATTCAAATCGAAGGAAAAGTACCGCAGGAGGGATGAGAAGCGGGGCTCAGGGGGAGGAACCCTCGTGTGTTACCGCCCACGGAGCGATGATGAAATGCAACAACAGCAGTAGTAGCGTGGATTGTGATGTTGAATTGGCGTCGACCGCGCAAACCGTTGACCGTTGTTGTTGTCTTCATTACTAGCATGGACCACGCTTCCCGGCTGACAAACGAAGTACGCCACATTCAGTCTGAGTGGTTGGAAGGCACGAGCGCATCAGCCTTCGACTCGCCCGCATCTGCCAATAGGATGACCTCTCCGGCCGGAACATGTGCGTGTGCACAAGTTCTAGTCTACGACTTCTGGCAGCAGTTCGTCGACGAGCATAAGTCGGAGCCCGACCACGTTTGGAACACGAAGGAGTCAGGTGAGCATAGTCAAGCGTAGTCTAGGGGTGTGCTTTAAGCAGCAGTGCTTTCAGCAACAGCTGCTGTGTGACGCTCTGCGGGCTTGCTTTGATGTTTTCACCAGCGATTCACATTGTGAAAAAAAGGCAGAGATCTGCTGCTGCTGAATGGAGTTCCCTCGCTGCGTGGCGTGTTTGTGCAGCGAGAGCCCTGCTGGGTGAACGCGCACCTACTGTTTCGTGTGCGCTGGTTGCTGTCCTTGATTATGTCGGCGATATATACACACGGTGCTTCAAGAGCAGTTCACATGCTGATCCACATGTTCTGTGCGCACCACACGCACGGAGTTGATGTGTGCCAAGTTGAAGTGACATGAGATGATGATGCTGTACGTATCTTTCCCGCCTGCGACTACTTTTGACCTGGATAAAAATGACGCCTTAGATGTTTTTCCTCCAGGCCCACAGGCTACAGTAGGGTCTTCTTACAATATGTGGTCAAACAACTCTGTAGCTTCGCCGGGACTTACACATGTAAGGTTAGACTACATGCACCCTCCCACCGGCCTCTCCCTTAGCTAGACTATTCCCTTCCCCCCCCGCCGTCGCCATCGTAGGCTGGACGTTGTTGGGTGGGTGTGAGCGCATCTCAGCCTGTACTTACTGTCCTCCTCTTTCACCCCCCACGCGCGCGCTTTATCGCCCCAAATTATTGTTGAAGGTGGTACCATTCAAGGCACGCAGGGAGGGCGGGTCTTCGCGGAGAAGGGGCAGCCGGTGGTCCCCCAGATGCTTGCCAACTCGCGAGAAAACTGCACGATCGTCACCACCATCAACGCCGCCGGCGCCGTGCTGGACCCTACCATCATCTCCAAAGGGCAACGTTTCAACAGAGATTGGATCGCGGATAGGAAGGGTCCGCCGGGTGCGACGTACACCTGCACGGAATCGTCCTTCATGTTCGGTGACGTCTCCATCAAGTACATCAAAAACCTCCACGAGCAGCTTGGCCGGCGTGGCTTGCTCGACGGAAAACCCTNCGTCACCACCATCAACGCCGCCGGCGCCGTGCTGGACCCTACCATCATCTCCAAAGGGCAACGTTTCAACAGAGATTGGATCGCGGATAGGAAGGGTCCGCCGGGTGCGACGTACACCTGCACGGAATCGTCCTTCATGTTCGGTGACGTCTCCATCAAGTACATCAAAAACCTCCACGAGCAGCTTGGCCGGCGTGGCTTGCTCGACGGAAAACCCTACGTGCTCGTGCTGGATGGGCACGCGTCGCACGTGAGCTTTGAAGTCATCCAGTTGGCCAAGTCCCTCAACATTCACCTCGTCCAGCTGCCCTCCCACATGTCGCACGTCACCCAGCCCTTGGACGTCGCTAGCTTCGGCTGTTTCAAGGAGCTGACCACAGCGATCGCGGTCTTCCCGTCGAAACACGGAGGGGCATTGCCGCGGAAGCGGGACATGGCCGGCTTGATCGGGCAAGCGTGGAGCATGACTTTTACGCCGGAAATCAACAAAGCTTCCTTCGCCGGGGCGGGCCTGTGGCCGGTGGACAAGGAACGGGCACTCACTCGNGATGGGCACGCGTCGCACGTGAGCTTTGAAGTCATCCAGTTGGCCAAGTCCCTCAACACCCACCTCGAACAGCTGCCCTCCCACATGTCGCACGTCACCCAGCCCTTGGACGTCGCTAGCTTCGGCTGTTTCAAGGAGCTGACCACAGCGATCGCGGTCTTCCCGTCGAAACACGGAGGGGCATTGCCGCGGAAGCGGGACATGGCCGGCTTGATCGGGCAAGCGTGGAGCATGACTTTTACGCCGGAAATCAACAAAGCTTCCTTCGCCGGGGCGGGCCTGTGGCCGGTGGACAAGGAACGGGCACTCACTCGGCTGCAGCGCCCGAAGAGGAAGGCGCGGGAAGCCGACCGCCCTTCCCTGCAGGACGTCCCCATCGTCGTGAGCAACGAACAGCTGGAGGAGCTGCTGGGCGAGCGCGGCGTCCACAAGGCCCGGGCAGAAGGCCACACCATCCCGGGAGTTCGCGTGAGTACGGTGCTTCTCGGCCTTTACCTGCCCAACAACCGCCCCAAGAAAAAACGCCAACGCGGGCGATCCTGGGCATTCCAGACGGAGGACTCCTCACTGATGAAGAAAGGATGGCGAGGCAAGAGGACAAAACACGCGAACTGCAGGCTGCCGAGGCCGCTAAGACGGCAAAGACCGTGGCGCGGGAAGAGGCACGAGACGCGAGGAGGGTAGAGCTCGCGGCGAGGGAACGTCAACCGAACGGCGGCCGGGGGCGGGGAGGCGGCCGGGGCCAGGGACGGGGGCGCGGCCGGGGCGGCCGGGGAGAGGAGAGCAGGAGGGTCGAACGGAGTGAGAGAGAAAGCGGGGGCGGGGGGCAGGGGGGGGCGGTGTGTCGATGTTCAAGGATGGCGAGGGGGCCGCGGGGGGCGCGGGCGTGGTAATGTTAATGTTAGCGGCCGCCGCGAGGGAATGGGGGGACGTGGGCAGAGGGCCGGCAGTCCTAGCCGCGGTGCGAGAGGGGCGGGAGGGGCGGGAATCGCCGTGGGTCAGCCGCCGGCGGTGTCCATGTCCCGATCGGGACGAACCGTGACGCAGACACCCGTGGTGAATGTGTGGTTTTTCGGAGGGGGGCTGTTTCTTCTGCGCGGAACCATTCAGGCAGGGATCGGGTTGAAATTATGCACGAACGCCGAAGACTGTACAATATGTGGAATCGATTCCAATTAGTAGAGAGTTGAGTATTGTTCACGAGGTTGTTTGGGGCAATTTAGGTGTTGAACAGCACCGGTGGGGGTGGGGCAGGACGGGCGGCGGACAGTTTGTCGAAAACCCGGGGATGGTGTATTTTTGTCCCCTGGGCTACGTACTTTTTCTTTTTTTTTCTTGTCTAACATGTTTTCTCCAACATCCACCTCGTTTCCATCAACCGGCGTCTCGTGAGGGGTTGATCTGGGTGCAAATTAGTTGGTTAAACAAGTCGCAGGTTTTGGGGGAAAATTCTGCCGAATGCGCCGAAAAGGGGGGAAAAGTACCCCATGTCTGGACAGGCGTAAAGTCGTGCCTACTTGTTCGTTTGTCGTAATTTTTTTTTGTGACTCAGAATAGGATCCACACCAGTCACTTAGTCATCAAACTAGTGCGTTTGGGAGGTTTCAAGGCCAGAGAACATGCAGGGCCCCCAAAACGTATATTCCGTCCCTCAAAATTGAGCCGCAAAACCGGGGATATGAGCATTTTGTCCCCGGGTGTGCACCGATTTTTTTTTGTCTCGATTGTTTCTAACATGCGTCATAGTAAGAGCGTATGTGCCAAATTTCAGGTCTTGAAACGCTGTACAACCTGCGCAATGGACCCCTACCCGAAAGGTGTCCGTAATACCCCCCTGGCCGTTTTCCCCGAAATATTATTACAGGCTATACATCCTCGCCATCTCAATGTTTTTCAATTTTTTTCTCATCTTTTAGTCTATGTAATAATCTATCATCCGATACCTCCCACCTTATCGTGAATCATCGTGACCCCAGAGAAGAAGCCGCCGAAGTCGGGGGGGTCTCAGGGTGTCCATAATACCCGCCCCTGCTCTAGACGTGTGTTGTCAGCACTGACTAGTCTTAAGGGTTCGATTTCGGCTTATATATACCGCCCTATGGGAGTATGTACCATGTACTTTTCCTCTCTCCTCCGATACCTTGTACACGGAGAGAGAAGAGAGTCTGGCGTTGACACGTGGTCGAGCTTGTGGTTCCAAAGAGGGTCGCCGGTATCTTAGAACCATCTACAGCAGGATTTCTTAATCCTACTCGCTGGAGATGGCTTCAACACAAGCATCCTTTCGCTTGCTGCTACATTTACACATGAGAGAGGCAGGCATTCTTTCCCGTGGATATATTCATAAAAAAAGAGACGTCCAAGAAGAAGGGGGTAAATAGTCTGTAATTCCGTATTTCCTCATGTTTCGCATGTGCCTATAATTCGTTGCTCACCTCATTCTGTACACCGGACAAGGCAAGCCGTGCGCAAGTGACTTACTTTTTCTGAACACGACGCACCCTTGGTAAAAAGTGGCAGCTACTGCACAGAAGGCGACAGAATAGACGGTCTCAAGAGCCGTGCGCGGCGTTGACGAAAACACGCACAACAACGCGGCGCGGGAGGGGTCAACTCGTCCCTTACCTACGCAACTCGATTCCTATCGCCAATGACACCATCTCCCTCTACAGCAAAAAACAATGTTTCCTTCCCACTTCCAGTACGAGGGGGTGCGACTTCCTTACATGACTTCATCCATTCGCTTTCGCTCCGGACGTTACACACAATGATATTCACGAGAATAACCAAAAAAATGCTAACAATTACTGCTGTGTCCCCCGGCGGAGTGTTCGATCGGCAGCTCAGTCCCCCAACAGCTACCGATTGTGCTGTAGGAGTGTTCCTCCGAGATCGGTACATCCAAACGTGTCACAGCAGTATCCACCAAACCAAACAAGGCTACAGATGTCTTTACAGTCAGTACACAGCTGCTGCAAGATGCCAGCACACGCGTACACATGCACGCGCTGCAACCTCGAACGAAACCAGGACAGCATTCTGCGGAGCCCCCCTTCTCCTCGACCAGCCTCGACCAAGCAAGCGCCCCACGGCCTCCTTCTCCGATCGACACCCCCCCTCCCCTCCCCCTTGGCGCGTGGAGTGCCAGCATCACGTTCCTTTTCCCCTTTCAAATTTATGTGCCCCTGTTCCTGCTGTGTTGCGAGATGAGCGCACCGCTGTGCTTCGGCCGACCCTCAGTAGCGCGAGATGACGAGCTCCTCCTTGCTGTGCCCCCTCAGGAAGCGGTCCGTGACTTGCATGCACCCCCACAGGCGGAGAGACCTCAGGTCCTCGCAAGCGTCCACCAGGTGCCCCAAGCCGTCGTCGGTGGCCGACCTGCAGAAGGACAGGTCCAACGATTCCAACGATGACGAGCAGTACCTCGCAAGCGCCACCTGTTGCGCGTGCCGATGGCAGTGGTGGTGAATGGTCAAGCGCGGCCGGGTAGGCGGTGGAACTCAGCGCAGCTTAACGAATGGGTGCTTGATTTCGGCCACATTGAAACAACGCGGCGACTTCGAGGCAAGACACCGTTCCTACCCCCTGGTGCAGACACGCCTACACATGGAGGAACGGATTTGGAGGAGGATCTCCAGACACAGCAACGGAGCCCGCGAAACGAGTAGGAGTTCCAGTGTGAAAGCATGACAATAACATAACCATAGACGCACCCGAAGGCAGATTGGGTTCGGGGTGCTCGACAAAGAGTGGTGGGCAGAAACCGCAAGGGTTGAAAAAGCGGGACGGTTCTAACAGCGGACGGGCGGCGCCTCGAAGAGCCCCTCCATCGTGAACCGCGAAGACGCGACAACGGAGCGCGAAAACATTCCTACACAGGCACGCACACGCCCTTTCGTAAACCGAGCACAAAGAGGTTCCGGACTTGAGTTGCTTGGAACATGGGATTCTACGTGCAACAACCAGGCGGTGTGTGTGTGCAACAACCAGGCGGTGTGTGTGCAACGTAGGATTGGACAAAGATGCGGAGGGGAGCTGTGATGTTTTGGAGACAGAGCAGTTGAGGACAGTCAGGGCATATGATCCACCCGGCCAAAATAAAAAGGCGGTAAAAGGTTGATATCGGAGGGAAAGCGAGTAATGGTAGTCGCTAGACAAAGCGCTGCCGAAGGCGGCTCCAAGGGACGCGAAACCAAATGTTTGTGCTTGTCTCTCCCGAAACTGATCGCGACTTCTATAGTCTTCACTACCGTGTCTCACCAGGCTCCTGTCCGTGATGAGAGCCAGTCCCTTCAGGTCCAGAGAGCGAAGGCTGCCAGAGCACGCGGCCGCCATCGCCTACATACGCAGCGGCGGAATCGAAGAAAGAACGTGGCCAAGTGGAACGACAGAACGCACACACAGACGGGGAGAGGGAAGTCGAGAAGACGGGAGGACAGTGGGGAGAGTGAAGGAGCAGAGGTCGGTGTAGACAGCAGTGGGGTTGTTGCGTGGGTCGTCCGCGGGCAACGGAAACTGCCATTCCCCCGCCCCTCGAAACTTGGACAGCATTCGCAACGACGACAACGACACCAACAGGGCTCCGTGGCATGCAAACGTTCACGGCTGGAGATGGCGTTCAGGGCTAAGCAAGATCTAGACTCGACGGTGATGAAGGTTCTTTTGAGGACGAAATCACCTCACTTGATGGACACACCTGGCCCTCTCACCTCCACTGCCTTGTCGTCCACCTGCACCAGCCCTCGGAAAGACACGCTCGTCAGCCTCGACTTGAGCATGGTGTGTCCCAGCCGTGCACCACCCCCATCGCCCCCGTCTGCGGCGGAAGCTGACCGCGGTACCGCAGCCACAGACGCGGTTACCGCCGCACCTTTACCCTTCCCCTTCCCCTTCCCCTTACCTTTCCCCTCCCCCTTCAAAGCGCCCCCGGCGCCACTGCTGGCGGGGTTGATGTCACCATCGTCTTGGGCGGTTGTAGCGCTTGGATTTTGCGCGAGGCGCCCCGTCGACGCCTCTGCAGAGCTCCCGCTGTACTGAAAAATCTGAAAGGAAGGGGGTGATGTTGTGCGGAGGGGCAAAGCGGAGGAGAGTGTGTATGCGGGATGTGGCTATGCCTAATTTGGGACGTTGTCTACTCCAAGGTGGAAAGAAACACGCCTTCCAGGGGAAAGAAACACGCCTTCCAAGGGGAAAGAAACACGCCTTCCAAAGAGTACGCCCACCAGCGTTCGTTCGCATCCCAAGCAAGCACTGAGTAGGCCCCAAAAACACGGCAGCGGCGGGTTGGGTGGGGGTATGGTAGAACCGAGCAGAAGGAGCAGCGGGGCGGGGGCACGCTAGGGTCGACACGTGCCGTCGCATGCTCTCAATGCTACAGTAACGCATCCCCCTAGCTGCGGTCCAAAAGCACGTGCAACGAGGGGGCAGCCCTACACAAGCACGCGATAGGCATCCTGCCTACCTGTAGAGTAGGGGGGATCAAGCCCCCAAAAAGGTTTTAATACGGGAAGCCTCCGGCTAGAAGCTACACCCGTCCCGCCTGCAGCGTTGGAGGGATCAAGTTTCAGCATGAGGAACCGCCGGCTAGAAGCTACATCCAGGAGCCACCACTGGCGAGCAGGAGACACGTGCCCATCGTTGCCGACACAGCAGTCTCGGGGAAAAAACGCCCTTCGCAACCCAGGCACCCGGGATCCCACGCGCAAAGCGGAATCTACCTCAGCAGCATTGCCGCTTCTCGCGCCTGCATCGTTCTCACCTCTTGGATTGCACCACTCGTGAGGAGGGGACACAGGCCAAGGTTGAGCGACTCCAGGACCCCGCACCGCTCCCCTATGGCTTTGAGCGTGGCGTCGGTAAGGTCCGTGCAGTCCGAGATGTCCAGGTGGCGCAACCGTCCGCCGCACGCCTTCAAGATCTGGAGGAAACCCAGACGCGCCGGGTTAAATGGGTAGAAGAACAGGGGGATAGAGATACGAACGTCTGTGAACGATGATAAGGGTTAGAAAGCGGTGGAAGAGACAGGCGTGTGGACGATGTTTAGGGTAAGAATGGGGCGAAAGAATCAGGCATGTGGACGGTGGTGGGGTTAGGTTAGATTCCGTAAGTACTTCTATTTTCCAGGTGCATCCCAAAAGAGGGCTGCTTAGCCTGGTCGTTGTGAACTTGGGGGCACAGCGCATCACCGAAAAATTTGTCCCCGCAGAAAGCTACTTCTTGTGAGTAGGGCCGAGAGAGAGGAAGTGTTTCTGCCCGACCCCCAGGCTGTGTTAGACACAGTAAAATGAATGACAACAGAACAAAGATTCTATACCTGCACTTAGTTTACCTGCAGGAGGATTCCGTCTGTGAGCTTGGCTAACCCGCTGAGAGAAAGCCTCTCCAGGCAGGCCATTCCCTTCAACGGCTCCAGCTCGTCTGGCCCGAGCTGGATGCAATCCGTCTGACATCGCAATCGGAGTCGCGGGGACAGTAAACAGGGAGCAAGGGACAGCAAACAAAGAGCTACCACCTCGCAAAGAGAGGGGAAAGCAAACGGTTGAGGTGATCTATGCATCAGGGGTTACGACGGAGACCACACGCCTCCACGCTCCGTGTAGATGTTTGGAGGATGCTGTGCGGGATAGGAGAATATGCAGTGCGGGAGAGAGTTGGAGGGTGCTTCAAAACGTCCATGCCCGTAACGTTCGTCATAAACGCTCTCTCCGTGGAGTCAAGACGACGCCCCTTCTGGCGTCACCGGCCCTGGTAGGGCAGGGGAGGAAGGTCACCCCGTCCAGCATCGTGGAATCTCATAAAAGAAGCTCCCTTTGCCCAGGTAGACATGGACCCAAACCAGGTACGATACCACGGTAGGCCCACATGCCCACGGGTAGACATTGACTCGAACCAATAACGATACTACGGTGAACAAAGATCCAAACAATGGCCGCGCACACCTCAGGTAGACATGCACATATCTGATCAATAGCGTTGGGGTGCAGCACCCCGCTTGGGTTCAACCGATGGACCCAACATGGATGCGCTGGGACAGGGAACTGAATCGGGCTGCACCCCGTTTATCGAGGCATCGCACACCCGGGTTCGGGGGCGTCTCCCAACACGCCAGAGAATAACGAACTCTTCCAATTCACTGCAAATACTTCATTCAACACCCCCCCTTCTGTGGGATTATCTCGAGCGGGTAGAATACATATTTTCTAGAAAATAGCCAGCAAGGGCACGCTGTTGCACTACTACCTCTCACCAACGAGAGTGTCGTCAGTGCCATCCCAATGGGCCGTTCCTTGTCGACCATCTTCTCGAGGGCCTTGAGCGTGATGCGCGAGTTAGCGGAGAGCTCTAGCCCGGTGAGTCTCGGGCAGCAGCGCAGCAGCTCCAGCACACCAGTGTCCGTCAGCTGGTACGTGCCTTCTCGGGACAACGTTCGCCGCCGGTTAGCGGGAGCAACACGACGTGACAGCAGCGACGGCGCGAGAGCTAGCTTTAAGCTGTAGGGAGTGCTGCATGTTTGGGCTTTGAAGAGAGAGAGAGTAAGGGGAATTAATGTTGGGCGCTACGGTAGTTTCAGTGCGTCAGAAATGCCCGAAGGCGAGATAGATCTCCGGAGATGGACGTCAGATTCCTGCCGGGATGATCAACAAAAAGTACGCAGTGGATCTCCCACACCTTTGAAGTGTGGGTACAGAGTGGCCATGAGCCAAGGGGATGCTGCAACTGCGTGCAACGGTCTGGTGTTATTGAGCATCCATGATTGAGGGGAAAATGAACCCCCAGCCATAGTCGAGCAGTTGCTTGTACAACTTAGGACACTTGCAGATGTTTACTTTGCTTGAACGGCAGATTGAACCTAATCAGCGACGAAAAAAAAAGCTGTCACAAAACCGCACCCTGTTTGTACCGCAGGCTGAGTCACGACGATGAAATAAAAACGCCTCCATGAGCCGTAACTTGTTGGATGGCAGGTGGGGCCAGAGCGTTGGAAAAGCATCAGAACCAAACTCAATCTCGCTCCCGGCAAGAAAACACACACCCGCCTCACCCGCCAAGGACGCCATCTCCAACCTTGGAACTCCCCCGGCCTTCGTAAGGGCCTCCAGCGTGGCGTCTCCTATGCACCGGCCGCATGTGCCGAGCCTCAAGACCCTGAGGGTGCGTCGGCACTGCAGGATGGAGTCGCGCATTTGGTCGGGCTCGATGCGGCTGCAGTCGGGGAGGATGATCTCGGTTACCCCGGGTTCAGAAAGCCTCTGCAGGGCCTGCGCGGGCGGGAGGGGAGGAAGGGGTGCGCAACAATGCCCGGTTGAGGAACATAGCGCGAAGAGAGAAGCACAGGTATTTTCTGCAAGCAGGGTACGACATGCTGACTCCGAAATCACGGACGATGTGCAGGGCCCTGTCAGGAAGTGGTCTGGCGTTCTCTGCAACAATGCGCCGGTACTTGATAAGAAACGGGGTATTGTGGGCGTGGTAGTAGACATTGTCCTACAATCTGCTGCTGACATCAAGCCTGTTGCTCCGAAGATTTTACGCCGGAGTGTTCAATTGCGAACAGACAACAAAAACGCATACACCGCTTGCACCGAAAATCATTCATACCTCCGTGGTTAACTTGAGCTGGCGGCACATGACCGCAGCCAGGTGGTTACGAACCTCGGGCGACACGTCCCTGCGAATGGAAGGAATGGGAGGTAGCCGGGTTTATTTTCGGTGCACATGGACAAGTTCGTCCTCTTCGGGTGGCATTGAATTTAAGAGAGAAAAAGATTGTGGATGCTGCTTCAACGACGGCATGCTAGAGATCCGAAAAGTACGGACACCTTCGTCTAGGACAAAAAACAGAGGCGCATCCGCCCTGACTGAGACAATTCCTGCAGAAGCCAACCCGGAAGAGACCATGAGGACCAAGACCATGCGGACCAAGACCAAGAATCAATACGGCCGTCCATGCTCCGCACAAAGGACAGTGTCTAGGCCTGTCCTCACCCTAGAGACTCAATGTGGTCGAAGTTGTCCGCCAGAAGGTCGAGGCAAAGGCGAAACAACGAGGGGATGGCCCGCGATTTGCCACTTCTGCTCCCCTTCCCCGTGGGTTTCCAGTCCACCTGGAGCAACGGGCCACGTGGAATGTGTTAGCGAGGGAGAGGGGGGGGGG